CTTAGATATTAGAGATATATATGTAGTTACAAATGTAATTTCAAAAACTCAATAAAGTACTAGCGTGACTGCTTATAGTTTTAAAAAAAAAAAAAAAAAAAAAAGATTAATTTAAATGAGAGTGATTCTAGTTTTACTATTAAAATTTTGGATAATAATGAATAAAAATTTAGACAGTTAAATGTTCTATTACTCCTGTAATTTATCATTGTTTTAATAAATTTACAAAAATTATAAATGCCCTTATTAAAATTTTTATTAGTTTATTCTCCCACAGCATCTAGTTGCTACCGGAGTATGAACTAAAATTTACAACGAAACTATACAGGTTAATGAAAGTGTATTGGATGGATTGTAATACATCAATAGTAATTAATACTAAGTATTACTAATTAAAGTTACTATTTCCTGCATGAAGATGTCTTATAACAAGATCATGGCTCTATCAAGAAAAGCCTGAAGGAGTATTCCTTGGGCACTATTTATATTCTTGTCAATCTCAATGTTACAATTTTTGCATTTGTATATTTTTGACTCACTGATATTTTGCATATTACTACACCAATTGCACGTTTTTAAAGTGTAAGCTTCATTTTGAAAGATTATTTTGTTAGCTTTTTCCTTAGATTTTGAGATTAATCTTTGTTTAAACTTGTAATAAGACCATCTTAACATTCTTTTTACCACTTTCTTGTTTATCATTCTGGTCTTTCTGTTAATTATGTTTGATGTTTCAAAAGGTGGAATCATGATGATGTCAAATTTGTTTGTTAAGAATTTGATCATTTTCCTATGGATCTTGTTTTGTAATCTATAAATTTTTCTTCTCATTCTATGCATGACCTTGTCCAAAGAGAAGCTTTCTTTTTTTTACATTTAGATTTAGAATCAGATAATTTATCTTTTCTCGAGATAAGGTCATTCATGTATTTGCATAATCTATATATTCAACCTATATCACAATTACCAATCTTCCTAGCAACTTTTGTAGGAGAATACTAGGTAAATAGAGTTCTGACACTAGGATCTATCAAGACAGCATGAATTATGTCTTGTGTCTCATGAATTCATGCTTGTTTCTTGTAAACCCAATGAAAGATCCATTAATTCATTTTATATAAGTAAGTGAGTTTACAATCACAATCTATTTTAATGGGAGGCCAATTATTGTTTCTTCTTTTTTTCTCTGAATGAAAAGGTCTCAGATCTCATTTATTAATCACGATATTATTAGGTTTGTGATGTTTGTGTTTCAGAGAATTGTAGTTGTGAAGGTAAGATATATAGAAGTAATTCAAATCATTTTTTGAAAAATTCTAAGCATAAATACTCATCATTTGTCTTAGATCTTTTTTTGATTTGAATGACAAAGAAAACTTTTTGATGTCTTTCAGATTGTTTTGTATTATGTTTGTTTTAGTAGTTAGAGCTTTGTCAATGCTTTCATCTATAATGTACATAGAAACTTTGTCATGTAGATTTTTTAGTTAAAGTTCTAACTATATTATATTTCTAATAAATTTTTATTCACCCCACATATGCGTTTTGCAAAATTTTTCATTCTTAATGTTCAAATAAAGTTTTAAATTGTCTTTTAACATCTGAGATTTTATTCATTCTTTTTGTTTATTAGTGTTGAAGAAACATCTTTCCATATTCCATCTTATGATTGAATTATAAGCAAATCTTGTCAATCCAAGCCATCTCTTTAAAATTTTTTCTGTAAATGATTCAGATACATCTTGATCGACAATGTTCTGTTCAAGCTTATCTCAAGTTTCTGTTTCTTTGTTTTTCAAACAATTATTATCTTTTTTCTTTTTGTTTTCTTTTCTGTATCTTGCAGCTCTTCATCCTTGTGTTCTACAAATAAACACAGTATTGATAGCAAAGATATCTTGAAATAATTTATGTTTATCGAAATTTAACTTATTGAAGAGAACCATGAGTTTTGTAGAATGTAATGAGAAAATGTACTCAATAAGTTCATACATGAATTTGCATAATCTGTCTCTGTGGGTAATTACAACTTCTGAGACCATTCCTTTACTTGATCATTCCAATAAGGTTTTAAGACAATTTCTTTTGAAATTGATACCTGACCCGATGTCACTAATAAGTTCATAATTGGAGTGCTTTTACCTTTTAAGGTCTTCCTTCTTTCTGTTTGTTACTCAAGACATGTGCATACAAGAAACATTTCTTTTCAGTAACAGAGGTAAGGTATCATTTTGAGTAATCAATTCTGAAAAAAAAGAAGAAATATTACAGAGACGAGTCCCAGATGGAGATGTCTTCACAGATATCTTTCCTTGTTTTAACCAACATCTCAAAGTATTAGACGAAATTTCAAACTTTTTAGTTGTTTTGTGAGCAGATAGATACATAAGAAAAAAAATCCAATCCTAAAACAATCCTAATAAATCCAACAAAAATGAGTTTTTCATCAGCTTAATAAGTGTTAATATGCAATTCATTATCCATATATCGATAAGCATTACTAATTAAAATTTTTATGTGGTATTGAATAAACATTATTGTCTGGGTCACATTTTTTAAATATTTTATATAATAGAAACAAATCATATAAAATGATTATTAATTAAAGAGCTAGTGATAATACTCTCAAAAAAAAAGAATCCACTAGCACTAAGAATTAGAACTGCCTAATTTATTCTTTACTTGTTTAATTATTTAACTATTTAAGAATAGTACATTTAAATAATATAATTATGATGCTTACAAACAGAGTTGTCAGATTGATATTTTGCTATAGTGAAAAGCTTAACATCTCATAGCTGAATTAGATATTTCTTGCATTTATTATTATACAGTTTTTACAAGTAATCATAAGAAATAAATAAAAATTTTTTTACTGAAAAAAAATATTTTTTTAATAAAAAAATATATTTTTTTAATCAGTGTGTTACGTATAGTACTATATGTAAAAAATTTTTTAGAAAATTCTAGAACAAATTATAAAACCATTTTTATCTCATAAGTTTTCTCATGAAACTGTCTTTTGTATTCTAAATAAAATTATTCTTTGCAAAATTTTGCATATAGATAGTTTATATATCATACATGTACTATACATATTGCACATGCTATATACACTATATATACTATATGCACTATACATACTGTACATACTGTAAGCTAAAAAAATCTGGATATCATATAAATGGCACATTACTAATTGTGGTAAAGTATAATTTTTCTGTATTCTTTTTTGAATATCTGTAAATTAAGAAAAATCGATCTTTAGATTCCATAATAAACCTTTGTGTGATTGATTAAGTGTAAAATAATAAAAATAATAAAAATATATTAATTAGTTCATATGAAAAGTTTTTTTTCTAGATCCTTATATTTTTCTTTGCTTAATTTTACATTATGCAAACTTATTAGGCTAATATATAATGAATTGAGAAAAATCCAGAAGCATTAACAGTTAGAATTGTTGGTTTAAAGTTGTTTCAATAAATCAGATAATAAATCCTTGAAGCAATATTTGTGGCAATATTCACAGTATTGTTGACAAAATTACTTGCAGCTGAAACAGCTGGTTTTAATTTCAGAAATTGAAAGTGTTGGAATATTGAGATGTTTTTAATTATAATATGAAGGTACTTTAAAAAAATAAATTAATTAAAACAAATATTATTATTACAAATTAAAATTTTTATTGAAATAAGCTGTTTAAAAAAATAAAACATTAATTAATATTTAACAATTACAAAATTAATTGAACAGATTTTTTATTCAAATTTTGATCTTTTTTTTTAATTTTAATTTATTTGGAATAGTACAAAACCTTTAAGAAAGAAATTCCAATATTTAAACTATTCATTAATATAAAATGTTAATTACTAATAAAGGAAAACAATCTATTTTTTAAACATTTTTTTATTAAAATAAAAGAAAAATTATTGCTTTTTTACAATAATTCATGAACTAGTTATTATAATTCAAGTGTGTTTAAACTATTATATCAGTACATAAGTTATTGAATTCTTTTTTCAAACAATGCACATTTATAGCAAAATTATAAATACAAAATGTTAGTCAAATTAATTGATATCTAACAAAAATGTTAACAGATGAATCAGAGGTTATATTTAGCAGTAATGGATATATTGAATACCAAAAAGGGAACATGCCTTTAATTGTTTGCATACCATATGAAGGACATCAGCATCTACCAGAAGTACCAAATCATAAAAATTCCTCAAAAATAATTACAAAAAATAATCTATATATTCAAGAAATTGGAAAAGATCTAAAAAAGAAAATTATAAAACTTAAAAGTCAATCTTATTTAATAATAAATCACTTGCATAGAAGCAAACTTGATGCTAACTGCAAATTAGAAAAAGAATCTTCTGCTCCTGAAACTAAAAAAGCTTGGAAAGAATATCATAATTTTATATCTCGAGCGATTGAAGATATAAAAGAAAAACATGGATGTGGCTTATTGATTGACCTTCATGGTAAGAAAAACATTGGTCGGATCGGTTTTTTTTGTGTTGCTTATTTATTTATACATAGGACATGAGCAATCTGAAAATATCAAGTTGGAATATATGCTATTAAAAGAGGAGTTAATGCTATCAGATGAACAAATTAATCAATTCTCATTTTTTCAAACTGAGTCTAGCATAACAAATCTTTACTTTAATTATAAAAGAATTTTATTCTTTTCAGAATTGCTATATAGACAATTTAAATCTCTTGGCAGAAAGTTGCAATCATATAGTTATGAAACAACTCCTTCACATATTAACCAGTATCCCAAAGATGAGAAGTATTTTTCTGGTAGATATACTATAAAAAAATATAAATTAATATTGATGCAATCCAAATTGAGTTAGTAACATTGTTTATCTAGAAATAATTTTAATTAATATACACTGACTATTCTGTTTTTTTATAGATTACCAAGAAAATATCATCCAGATAAACCAAATAAAGAAAGTCACAAATTTTTAGAAAATCTAGCAAATAGTATTATATAGTTTTTAAACAAATATTTTTCTGAAGAAACAAAAGCTTTTTTTGATAAGAAAATGTAGTAGTAGATAATGATTTTCATTTTTGTTTTCTTATCATTATTTCATGAGTATTTGATTTTTATGATTATTATTTTTTGGCTATGAAAACATGTTATCTACACTTCAATTTTCACACTATGTGACAAAGCAATATTCTTATATTTAGATTATGTTAGATGTTGCAATTTATATACTAACTTAATCACTCAGTTTTACATATTTAAAATAGATTATTTTATTTTTATTTTTATAATGAACTAGGAAACTTATGAAAAAAAATAAATAAATAAAAAATATATTTAATATCAAATTGAATAAAAATTTTGTGCAATGATATCGAAAAATTATGATCAATATTTTTTTAATTTATATAATTATGCTTCTATTAATTAAAGAAATTTTATCATTATCTGAAATATGCTTTGCAGCCTTCTTTGGTAGTCTGGATCATGAATATTTCTTCATAATTAATTGTCAATTCACTAAGGTTTTGAATTCTTTTGAATTGTTACTAAGAGTAAATTATAATAAAGTTTTTTTTCTTGAAGGTTTAGTAAAAAAAAACTTTAGAATTTATACAGTATAACATTTTTTATTTTTAGGGTTAGGGTATAAACTTTTAAAGAGTTTTTAAAAAAATAGTGGCAAATTAATAAAAATAATAACAATTAGTAGTTTTTTAAAACCTCTTGTTATAATCAAAATCTTTATCAAAAGCTTTTTTCAATTGCAATGATGATAATCTTCCAAAATTTTCATTATATATAAATTAGTTATCTATTACATGTAATATTAAGTAAACTTGTTCAATGCATCATCTATCTAAAGAATTTAAACCATATTTACGAAGATGTATTCTCATTTGCCGATTTAAATGAGGCATACCAAAGATTATAATTACTTTTCAAATTTATTTCATTTATTTATATACTGTACATAGTATTGTTTGAAAATCAGAATTAAATTGTAAAAATAGAATTTTATTAGATATAGTATAATTAGTGTCTGTCTACTGATGAGATAGTGTCATGTGATATTAAGTTAAAATTTTAATTCTGCCAAAATTATTTTTTTAAAATAATGTATTTTTAATGAGAATTCAAAATGCAAAATTGCTGAGGAATTTTTCAAAATGAATAATGAAATTCAGAAATAAAAATTCAAATTTAAAAAAATAGAAATAAATTTGAAAATAGTGCAAACAGTGCTCAGATTAATATTTTGCTATAGCAAAAAGATTAACATCTCATAGCTAAATTAGATATTTCTTGCATTTATTATTATACAGTTTTGTTTTTACAAGTAATCATAAGGAATGAATAAAATTTTTTTTAACATAAAAAAAATTTTTTTAATTAGTGTATTAAAGTACGATTTTTTGTATTCTTTTTTGAATATCTGTAAATTGAGAAAAAAATGTTCTTTTGGATGTGCTAGCCCAATCGAAAGGAGATTTCATTTTTACGAAAATAGAAAATCTCATAATAAACCTTTTGTGATTGATTAAGTAATGTAAAATCATCAGGTTCAACACGAATTTAACAAAACCCAATTTCTTCAGGACTTCTCCTAGGTAGTTTTTATATAAAGTAAAAGGTAACTAGCTCTTATAGTTCTTTTATCATTTATAAGAAATAAACAAAAGGAAGAATCAATGAACACCTGCTCATTCATGAGTATAGTTAATTTGTTTTAAGTGTATTTACATTCTTATCAAGAATTTACCCATATACATATAAAATTCTTGAAAAGGAAATTACATTCAAGCCAAATTAACAAAGACTTGCCCTTTTATTTTGAAAGGTAGGTGACCTTATTAAAAAAAAAAAGCAAACAGCAATGATTACAATAGAATCAAATTTGGGTATGAATTAATTTATCAGTGTGGGTATGGACTCACAACTCCGCATTTTATCTTGACAAAAATACTAAATTAGTAAAATGAAATGCATCATTGAATGCATAGCTATGCTTATACCCTCGAATTAATTACTCAAAGTATAAGTGTTATTGTGACATCCTAGTGACTGGTTTTCGTATAGCACCTAAATGATCGGTCAGTTTTACAATAGCTCTTGAAGGGCAACAGATTCAATTGTTAGTAGCTATAATCAAGTTATAAGCGTGAACTACTGTTTCATACCACCCTGACTAATACTGATTACTCTATTTGTTAGTAGTAAAAACCCGTTAGTAGTTAGTAAAAAAAATTATCTGAAATGACTTTTTGATTTTTCACTGATTAGACTTTGAAATAAAAAAGAATAAATTATAATCTTTTTAAATAAAAAAAAAACAATTATTTAAAATATGTAAACTAATACTTTTCATTGTATCTTGTTATTTAGTTCTATTTTTATTTTAAAAAAAGTGAACAAATTTAAAAAAGTTAACAAAACAAAAGTTAAAAGGTAACGAAAACAAAAATTTAAAGAAAAGATGTTAAAAGAACACTGCATCACTCAATGCCTAGCAATAGTAACACAGTTGGCACTGTAAATAAAAGAAAAGATTATAAAAAAAAACTGAAAAGCGATAACACCAATGATAAAGTTTTTTTTTAAAAGAGAAACAATAACACATCAAGAATTCTAGATAAAAATTAACAATTACATCAACCTCATTATTGAAATAAAAAGAGTAGGAGATAAAGAAGCACTAATTTATCAAAGAATGGTATTTCAAATCAAGAACAAGTAAAAGCAGAAATGAAACTTGTTCCAAGTTATTGAATAACAATTTAAATTTGTCAAATGAATTTTTTGTAAATTTTCAGGCTGAATTCGAAAATTTACTACTCACCAAATTTATCAGGAAATTTAAATAACATCAATCATGAAGCAATAATTATTACCCTTTTTGTATTTCCTCCTTTACTTTTTTGCAATCTCATTATGACTTACCACATCTCTATATATACTTCTATGTAACTTCATATCTCAAAAACTTTATTAATAGTCTTTATTTAAACATGACCTTAATAAATATTACTGATGTAAGAAAAATGCTAAAAGTTTTCTAAGACTATTTTATTTAATCTAAACTAATTAATTATTATTCATCTTCCACTTTTTCATCTTCAGTATTCTTACTATTATCATTTTCACTTTCAATTAAATTTTCCTCTTCATTATTAAACATTTGACCATACACTACACTTCCTTTCATGATTTTTCTAGCCTTGTCAAATCCACATTTAAAGTTATCCATAATTAAATGTGTAGTAGTCCCAGGTAATAGAACCATAAGAAGGTAATCAGTTGTAGTTTGTGGAATGCATGTACATTGTCAATTTTTCTACTAGTAATAAAAAGTTCTTCTAATTTATTAGAAATTATTTAAAACCCTTTAGGATCATAATAACCAGGCTGTGAGAATTTAGAATTAGTTTTATTTTAAAATAATAAATAATAATTTTAATTGATTATAAATACATGCTATGATTTCATTAATAATATTTATTTGCATATTAATGGAACAAGAATTATTAAAACCAAAATTATTAATTCATTTAATTACTTCTTGACGATAATAACTTTGATCATGATTATGAGTAATAGCCTCAATTTTATCCTTAAGAGCTTCGATGTGAACTGTTAAATTTGTAAAGTCTACATTAGGATAAGGTAAAACTAATGCTTTAAACTTTTTATCACCACCTATTTATGTGTAGTAGTAATTAATATAATTACATTAAAATAAATAATAATGTAAAATTAAAATCAAAAAGGAACTTACATGTCATTCCAATTTTGAACCATTCTATTAATGAATTAATGTTTAACATTCCTATAAAATTATTCATTATTTCATAATGATAATTAATTAGAAATCATAAAAAATTACAAATAAGTAATATCATACTATGAGATCCTTTAAACCAATCAAATGGGATAAGGAGATTAAGTATGTCATAACCAATGATTTCATGAAAATTGTTTATTCTTTGGAAACAAGGTTTGTAGTATTTTAATTTTGGATTAATGTTTTCATAATTAAATAGATGATTAAGAAAAAGACCAAATTTATATTTAGTTGCTATAATTTTTAGAGTTATTTGTTTTTCTTACATATACTTTATCAAACTTTGTTTTAATGAATACTTCTTTATTTGATGAACCTTCATATTCCAGCACAAGGTCATTATATGTAATAAATTTAGGGCTTAGCTCACGAATGTTGTAAAGAATCACATTTATAGAATTTATCTTCTCCCTTTTTAAGTTTGTTTTTTATTCAAAGATGTCAACTTTAGTTTTCTTAACCACCTTTTATTTTTTATTTTTTGGTTTTTTTATTTTTTTAATCAAATAAATATTTAATAGGTATTAAATAATACATTTTAAACAGTTATACAACATTTTTACCTTTTTTCATTTTAACTTTGCGATTTCAGTTTGTTGTTTATTAATTTTGATTTGTTGTTTGTTGATTTTAGTTCTTAAGTGATCATTTTCAGATATTAATGTTTTTATGTTTTTTTGTAAAGTGTCTTTACCTATTTATTACAAGAATTATGATTTTTAATAAAATAAATATAATATTAAAATTTTATTTAAAAAATATGTAACTTGTATTCTTTAATATTTTGCGAAGAATGAACATTTTTTTGGTATGAGATTGTTAAAAGTGTTTGTTTAAAAAAAAAGCAAACATATGCATGTTTATTAATTTATAAATCAATTGTTTGGTTTGTGAGCTATATTTGGTTATTAAGTACAGCTCTAATTTGTAAGCTGTCAGTGTTTTGATTCATAATATGCAGATCATAAATATGAGCATTAATTGATTCTATATAGTATAATAATAGCTTATATTTACTATAGGACTAGAGTAACTCATAAATGTGAGCTGCCATTATTAATAAACTTTAGATTCCTATTGAAACTAGGTTAAGTTCCTACATATTTAGTGTCCATGAAAGCATTTTGTGAATCTTTGGTAGAAAGTAGTGTATCTTTATTTATTCACTTGTTGGCAAGTTAAGAAAAAGACTTTTGTTACATACTATTTCATTTGAAATATTATATATGTATTGTTATTAGAAATGGGTTCGGTAATGAATGATCACAATCATTCATAGTCAATTTGCTAAATACTGAGATGGTTTTTTACTTTTGAGCTTTTAATTAAAGTTCAGAATTAAATTCTGAACAACTTTAATTAAAAGCTCAAAAGTAAAAAATCGTCTCATTATTTAGCAAATTGACTATGAATGATTGTGACTGTTTATAACTGAACCCATCCCTAATTGATATAGGTGACACAAATTACTAACCACTTCTAACCAACCAACTCAGAAACATTTTAACTTAAACAATTCATTACCAGCATTATTAGTTACATTATTAATTAATAAATACATTTAATAGTCATAAGAAATATTTTATTCAACCAAATAATTTTATTTACCAAAATGACTTTATTTAATAAATTCATTTTTGAACCAATATAATCAGTTCATAATTTTTATTTTGGATAAACCATTTGTAAAATTCTTGACATTCAGTTCATTCATTTTTAAAAAAAAATTTGCCATGGCACCAGCTTTAATAAGAGACTCGTAGTTTACTCCACTTATAGTAGAGCGACTAAAAAATTAAGTGCATTGCATATATTTCTTTCATATTTTTCAGATATTTCAATGGTAGAATTGATAAAGTGGGAAATATACCCTCTAATAATTTAGGGAGCAGATCTTTGCCAAAAGGAATATGTAAAGATGCCTTTTGTTTATTATTTAGGAAATTAGATTCAGGAGAAGTTTCTTGAGTAACTGCATGCCACAGATTGTTATAGTGATTTTTAATACTAATGAAATGTTTTAACTTTTCTAGCTTCTTCTTCTTCTCAAACTTATTATATTTGTTATACCAGTCAACTAGGTTTTGTTTTATAATCTTAATATTTAATTCTTTATCGATGTTAGGCTCAATTGTATCATTATTTGAAGTACTTATTTTTTCTCTTAACTTATTTGCGACTTTTTGCAATTTGTTTCAAGTTAAATTTTTATTTGAACTATCCTTTTCTGTTTTTCTTTGAATCAATGAAAGAGTTTAATTATCATTTAAAGTGCTTGAGCTAGCTTTGTTTGCTAATGCTTTCATTTGAGTCAATGGAAAGATTGGACTGTTCTTTAAAGTGCCAAATGTTTTTTTAGCCTTACTAGCTCAAAGTGCAATGAGTTCCTTGTATGGTTTTAACAATTCACAATTTTGTAGCTTGTATATCAGATTTAAATATATTTTATACTTGTTATTTAATGATTTTAAAATTCTATTATAACCAAAAATTCTTTCTAATATTGTATTGATATACCTTCAGACTTCTTCAGTGTCTTCTTTGTCATTAAATTGATTTAAAATTTGACTTAATAAACTCGGTTGCTTTTTATTCTAAATTTTAAGAATAAATTAAAACAAGTTTACTTTTTACTTATAATTTATAATAATGAGATTTAATACTATTAAGTAAATTGAGTTTTTGGCATTTTCATCATTTAAGCAGTCATGGGGCAATTGTTGATTGGAAATCTGAATTTCTTTATAATAATTTTTATCATTAAGTAGTAAAAACCTTTTTTTTTTAATATAAAAATATAATTTAATACTGTTATAATGCTATAATTAGTAATTTCAAAAGCATCTTTTAGTTGTTTAATTTCACTTTCTTTTTTCTAAATTTGTAAATAAAAATGTTTGGCAAATATATTTTGCTATTATACTAAAGTGTAACATATTACCTCTATCTTATATAAAATATCTGATTGTTCTAAGTATTTCTTTAGTTCAAACTTTTGTGTAATATATTGTTTTCGTAACTTTTGCCCTTAGATGTTTGTTGAGATTGTAATAGTTCTATCATTATAAGTAATACTTTGAGCCTAATACATAAACTTTTTAATAATGCAGCATAGTAAAAAAATTCCTTTGGAAGTTCCATTCTAAAGCAAAATTGAAATGTAAACAGTACAGTAAACAATAAACATGATCATTAACCAATTACATCCATTATACAAACTTTCTCAAATTTGGATGATCGGCAATATGGCTTAGCTAATTAATAGTACTTTTTAGAAAACCAAAATAAAAGAAAGTAAAAAAAGATAAGTCAACTTGTTTTATATTTTAAATTTTAATAGTAATATATTTGGTAGGCTTGTATTTGTTAATTTCTACAATTTAGAAATGATTTAGAAAATTAGATTCATTGAATATATTAAGTAGAAACACATTTGAAAATAAGAACTATATAGTCAATAAGGGATTATTCCTATAACATTCAATTCATCTCATTGAGACGAATCGAATATTATAAAATTCTGACTTTGGATCATTTAGTAAATAAAGATTTTTCAAATATTACTGTAATTTTATAAAAAATTAATTGGTCAATTATCATGCAACAGTAATTTTTTGCGAGGTATTACACGAGTTTGAAGAAATTTTTATAGATTGCTAAAAGTATTTAATTATACTATTAATAATTATGCATTGTTCATATGATTAGATAACAGTGCAGTTTTATGTGCTATTCATATAATTGATAACAGCTTACATTTATGAGCTATACATATGATTTGATAGCCACACTTATTTAAACACTGAAAATGCAATTTGTGTCAGCTTGCATTTATATGCTTTACATATGATTGATAACCAGTCATATTTAAATGCTGAACATACAATTGTATAACCACTTACATTTATGTGCTATATATATGATTTAATAACCACTCGTATTTAAACGCTTAAAATACAATCATGTATCTGCTCACATAATGCGCTGTTGATATAATTGATTTAAACTCACATTTATGTACTGTACATATAATGATAGCTACTTATATTTAAATGCTGAACATACAATTGTGTATCCACTCGCATTCATACCTGTATATATGATAATAGCCACTTATAGTTAAACGCTAAACATACAATTGTGTATCTACTCACATTTATATGCTGTACATATGATTTGGTAACTACTCTTATTTAAATGCTAAATATACAATTGTGTATCTGCTCATTTTATATGTTATATATACGATTTAGATACAGCTCATATATATGCTCTGTGCATATAATTTAATAATGCACAAATTTATATGCTATATAAATAATTTAGCAGTTTCTAAGTTCAACTAAACTAAGCTTTCTTGGAACTTAAGTTCATTAAATACTTTTTATCACCAAAGTCTACTAAATACTTTTGAGAAACCAAATATTTTCAAGGAACCTAAGATTAACAAAATGTTTTCAAGGAACCTATATTCTTTTGTTCTACATTTTCAAGGAACCTGTATTCCTTTTTTTACTAACTGCTTTTGAGAAACCTAAGTTCAACTAAATGCTTTCAAGGAACCTATATTCTACCAAATGCTTTTGAGGAACCTAAGTTCAACCAAATGTTTTCAAAGTACCTATGTTTCTTTGTTCTACCAAATGCTTTCAAAAAACCTAAATTCAACTAAATGTTTTCAAGGAACCTATGTTTCACCAAATGCTTTCAAGGAACATAAGTTCAACCAAATGTTTTCAAGGAACTTATGTTCCTTTGTTCCATTAAATGCTTTCGAGGAACCTAAGTTCAACCAAATGTTTTTAAGTAACCTATGTTCCTTTGTTCCACCAAATGCTTTTGAGGAACCTAAGTTCAACTAAATGTTTATATTCCTTTGTTCTATTAAATGTTTTTGAAGAACCTATGTTCCTTTGTTCCACCAAATGCTTTTGAGGAATCTAAGTTCAACCAAATGTTTATATTCCTTTGTTCTATTAAAAGTTTTTGAAGAACCTATATTCTACCAAATGCTTTTGAGGAACCTAAGTTCAACTAAATGTTTTCAAGGAACCTATGTTCCTTTGTTCTACTAAATGCTTTCAAGGAACCTAAGTTTACCAAAATGTTTTCAAAGAACCTATGTTCTACCAAATGCTTTTATAGAACCTAAGTTCAATCAAATGTTTACAAAGGACCTATGTTTCTTTGTTCTAATAAATGCTTTCAAGAAATTTAAGTTCAACCAAATGTTTTCAAAGAACCTATGTTCTACCAAATGCTTTTGTGGAACCTAAGTTCAACTAAATGTTTTCAAAAGAACCTATGTTCCTTTGTTCTACTAAATGCTTTCGAGGAACCTAAGTTTACCAAATGTTTTTGAAGAACCTATGTTCCACCAAATGCTTTTGTGGAACCTAAGTTCAACAAAATGTTTTCGAAGAACCTATGTTCCACCAAATGCTTTCGAGAAACCTAAGTTCAACTAAATGTTTTCAAGGAACCTTTTAAGAAATCTAAGTTTCACAAAATGTTTTCAGAAACCTATGTTTAAGGAACCTTTCAAGAAACCTATAATCAAGAAATCCTTTAAGGAACCTAAGTTCTAACAAATGTTTTTGAGAAACTTATATTCAAGAAACCTTTTAAAAAACCTATATTGTATCAAAAGCTTTTAAGAAACCTATTGTTCTACCAAATATTATTAAGGAACCTAAATAAATCTAAATACTTTTGAGGAACCTATGTTTCTATGTTCTAAGTTCCACTAAATACTATAAAACCTAGAAATATAACAGCTTACATTAATGTGCTGAGCATATATAATGCTTACATTTAAGTGCTAATACATTAAATATGATTTTGAGAACAGTTCACATTTTACACTATACATAACGATTCTATAACTACTCACATTTATGCACTGTTTGTATGATTTTAATAAATACTTACATTTATTTGCAGTTAATATTAATAACAGCTTATATTTATATGCTGTATATATGATTATATAACAATTCACATTTATGCACTTTATATATGATTTGTTTACAACTCACATTTATGCGCTTTACATATGATTTATTTACAACTCACATTTATGCACTTTACATATGATTCATTTACAACTCACATTTATACGCTTTACATATGATTTGTTTACAACTCACATTTATGCGCTTTACATATAATTTGTTTATAACTCACATTTATACGCTTTACATATTTTCTAGCAAGCTTCACTAATGTAGAAAACAAATGTTTATTTTCTCACTACCACCTCAAAGAATTATTTTTCTCTGTTACAGGCAAGTGAGATAACTCAAGCTACTTGTCAAATTCTGTTTTCCTATAATTTTTCTTCTAAATAATTGGAAAAATAATAACATCTTTGAATCTTTTTTTTTTATTATTATTGGTTCTGAAAGTTTCATAAATTGCTCTCGAAGATTATTAATAATTTCATGACATAATTCCTATGTTAAGAAGATATTTTTTTAATAATATTATACTGTTAGAATTAAATATATAATATTTATATTTACATTGTTAATATAAAGCAAATTTTTGAAATGAGAATCAAAAAAAGATCCATATAGTCCAAGAGTTGAAGGCAAATCAAAGTGCTTTTTAATGTTATCTAATATATTATCTTTTAAATATTGAATCACTTCATTTTTAGGTTGATAACTACTAAGATATTGCTTAATATTTTCAATTGCTGGTGTCATGAAACTTAATGCAGGATATTTTGAAGCTTTTAACATTTCGATTAATTAATAAAATAGGTTTAAGATAGTATCAAGTCTCTGCATATTTCAAATTCATCATCAGAAAGTAAATTTACTTTAAGTTTTTTATCTTTTATACTAATGTCTAATATATTGTTATTAAGAGTGTTATATAAAGATTAAATTGGAAGTTGAAGTTTTATTAACTGGTGATTAGCATGATAAATTGAATTCCAGTCTTCTTTGACATCTATTACATCCAATAGTTGTTGTATAGTTTGATCAATTTGCTGTTGAATGTTTCTTAATTTTTTTCGATTTGTGTCATTGATTAGAACTTCGATTAACTTTTTTGACTTATCTAAAATGTCATTAATACAAGAAAGCCCTAATTCAATGCTAATTCGTAAAATATTTGTCAAACATAGAATAATTTTGATTTTTATTTGTGTTAAAAGAACTTTCACATCACAATTGTCATTAGTAATGTTTACGATATTTTTATGAGCTAATCCAAATTTTGATAAAATAAGTTGAAATTGTTTAACAAGTTCAGTTGCATCATTTCCTGAAGAATTCATTACATCAAGAACAACATCAATTAACTTGAAATCATATGTAATCCAATGTCAAGTTATTAAAATATAAGAACATAAATAAGTATCTAAAGTAAGTGCTACAAACTTAGCAGTTTCTATTATTTTAGTCTAAATGAGTTTGTTTGTTCGATTATATGCATTAATAATTGTATTTCTTATAGTTTCACTATTTGAGGGAATAAATCAAATAAAATACAGAATTGTCTAAACTCGTTATTATTTACAATTAATATAGGAAGAGCGCAAAAGAGAATTAATTTTATCAGATTATGACTTTGTGTTGGATATTGTGGATATAAATAAAAATTATCAGAAATTTTTTTTTTCATTTGAGAAGGACTATCATTTAAAATATCAAAAATTTTTTTCAAAATATTCTTCTTCATTCTATATTTTGTTTTATAATTTTTAGAAAGACATGACCATGCCTTTAAAATAATATTTGAAACTTCTTTACTGCCTAAGTCTGAAAACTTGTCAGAAATAATGTCTTGCATTTTAATTGAAAATAAAAGAAAGGCAAAAAAACTTACATCTTTTCCTTCTTGATTGTATTCTATTTTTTGAAAATATATCAATTTTTATAACCAAAAAATTAAGCGATTACTTAATAAAAAAAAAATTAAGAATTATCATATATATATATATAATTTTGAATTTCAACAATTAAATTACTTTGTATTGAAATAATTGCAGATAGATGTACTTGAGATTGATTTAAAAGAATTAATTGATTAATTAATATTCAATTAATAAAAATAATCACATAATTAAAAATCTTTAATTTTAATTACATTGTATTTGTTATCACAATTAAACAAAAAATTAATTTTAGTAATTCAAAGTTAATTGTGAAGTTTAATTTGCAATTAAATATAATAAAGTAAAATAAGTTTATTGTGAATATTAGTTAAAGTGTATTGTTCTCATTTCTACATTCTAAGATAAGAATAAAAAGAATTTGAAGTGCTTGTTTTTAAAATAATGAATTCAAGAAAATGTAAGAAACTCAAGTTTGTAAAAACAGACTTCTGTTTACTGACAGAATGACTCAAGTTATTTGTATTATTGCTGTTATTTAATCATCACTAAAAGAACTTGAGTCATTCTGTCGGTATAATGCCATTATTGAATGATACTCAGCAAATAACTCGTTAATATATATGCATTATTTCTGGGTCCCAAAGAGTCCTAGAAGCTGACAGATAGGAGTATGCAACTTTACTACAAAATTCTACAACTCAAAGCATTAAATTATCATTTTGGTATAAACAGATTTCTATTATCCAGAATTTTGTAAAAATAGTTATTAAAAGACAAATTGGGTTTAAACATATTTAAATGCAATCATTATAAATGTCCTTATACTTAAATGCATTACTTAATTAGACTATATTTTATGGCATCAAACATAACAAAATTTTTTTTGTTTATTACATTATTTTTGTATGTATTATTTTAAGAATCCTATATCAATAATGGATGGTTAATTCTGTAGGTCTCCATGAATTGTTTATAAAACTATTATTAACAAAATAAATTTAAAATCAATTAACAAAATAAAATTAATAAATCATAAAAAAATCAAATTAATTAAACCTCCAATTCTGCATTTAAGTTAACACAATCCTGAAATAGATGATTAATTTTAGAATCTTGAGTTCTAAAATGAGAGACAGCTATTGCACAAAAATGGATTGTTTAATAACCTTTCTATGAACCAATATACTGTATTTGTTATTAAATAGATATTGATGATCACCTTTTTGAAGTAAATCAGCTTTACTTATCTTATCGTTATAGCCTATATAAGTCATAAAATATAAATGATGTTCCTGAAAAGCACTTTTGATTTTTGCACGTCATTTTTGCTCTGCTTCAAGGTGCAACTGACACCTAGATTCTAAAGATGACTTTCTGTGATCAATAATAGAATTAATTTGATTTTAATTTTAAAAGTAATTATAATGTTATAAATTTTTCTGAAATGTACATTCACCTTTTTTCTTTTGGATGAGTCTTCATTGAAGTTTGTCAACTAACTGAGGTGGAAAAAAGAACTTGTGAGAAAGCAACTCAATTTATTTAATTTTTAATAGATGAGATAATATGACCCAATAATTCTTTATTGGTAGTAATAGTTCATAGATTATTTGAAAGAAAATTTTTATACTAAACTAGTTATATTGGTGAATTTACACTTTTTTTCATTAGGTAATAATAAACTAAACTCAGAATTAGAGTGTCAGAGCCTGGACTTCGAATTTATTAATTATAAATGGTCAAAGATTTAATTATTAGTTTAACAAAATTGGAATAATATATAGCATTAGAATACGTAATATATTTACAATATATCAAGTTTATTGGAAATTTTCATTCTAATTTTAACTATAAAAATTTTTTGTTTATAATATTCTGACTTGTCACTTGTTATCAAGTGTAACCAAAATATCTGTATTCACAAAAACATTTCTCAAACAAACTTAGAATACCTTTTTTGAGTTATCATAGTTGTCACATGACCGACTGTTAGTCACATGAAAAGTAAAAAAAAGTTTACTTTTCTAACCTCTATTACTATATTACTCTTCTTAAATTTGTTATGTAATTAGGGCATGTCAATGTGATCTTAGGGTTTTATCAATAATACTGTATATTGATAATAAGTAATGTATACTAATACTATCACTTTGCCTGGCACTTGTGCTTGACACCTTGTATAGTGAAAAGATTAAAGGAAAGACTCAAGAAGTACTACCTACAGACAAGAACCCAGCCAATTCTTACACGCCTATTTCGACTTAGCCGAACCAAAATAGTTGGGTAAAAATTAAAGTTAGTTTTATAATAAAAAGCTATTAGCTTTAGAGGTTTGAATGTGGTGCTCAATCACAAAATAATCTGTTCAAGCCACAATAAGTGAAAACGTAAAATTCAATAAATATAAAAACAATTGAAAATCTTGGTATTCAATGTTAATCATTTGGTCAAATCAGCAGTATTGAATTGATTTTTGAACTGATTTTTTAAAATGAATAATACTTTATGATAAATAATTAAATGTATCATTCGAATTGTTTTAAAGTAATAAAATGCTTCTAAATTTTTGCTGCAGAATGATAATATTAAAATTAAAGAAATCATATGACTTATAATGAAACACATTAATGAGATCAGGCAACTTAAGAAGGAAAATGAAGCATTAAACAATGAATTACTTGTTAAGGAATGGATTATAGAAGGGCTAGAAGCCATGATAAATAAGTTTGAATTAAAGTGCAATATATGCCTTGAATATATGTCAAATCCTTATACCACTTCATGTGGTCATACTTTTTGCTATCACTGCCTTTATGAATGGGTACGTTGTAATTTTAATATTTGACAAATTAATTAATAATTTGTAATATACTGAGATTATAATTGTTAGTTTGAAAAAAACCAAATATGTCCAACATGTCATGTTAAAATCATGCAAGAAACAGTATTTTCCTTCATTATCAAGGACATTATAGATAATTTTATTAGATTCAAGTCATTAAAGGAAGAAATTCGTCTTAAAAAAAAAACCAAGAGTACAAAGCTATATCTGATCCGTGGAGTCCCCTTTTTGGCAATTCAAAAACAAAACTGAAGAAAAAAAACTCATATGAAGGTATTGTTTTAACAAGTTAAATAGTTAATTGCGATATAAAAGTTAAGTTATTCTTTTTGTGTTAGTTGTGGGTAACAATTGTGGACAAATCATAGAAATTGAAGGCGATGAAGATGACAGGATAAAGATTAAAGATGACGAAATAGAGATTGAAGATGATACTGATAATAATGATTATGTAGAAGACAATAATAATTATGACTTCATGGTTTCTTTTATTAATGATAAAGAAATTGAATACATAAATTCTGGTATGTTTTTTTTTTTTTTTTTTTACTTTTTTTAACAACCTAATTAATAATTTTATACTTTAATTAGACAATGAATATAATTCTCTATGATAAAGATTTTATATCTTATCAATTGATGTGATTTTGTAGTGTTTTGTGCAGTCACTTCATTCAATAGCTCATTAACAAGTTTTTTATATGTTTGAGAATCTTTAAGCTTATCTTAAATTTTTCTTAAGCTTAGTATTATTCAATTTACTCTTACTTTCTTCACTTTGAACAGAAAATTTGGACAATTTATATTCATAATTTTACTTTGCAAGCACATTGAATGAAATGCATACCCACAGAAATTAGTAGTTTTGTTAATTTTTATTTTTTACCCTATTATGCATTAAATGTAATCATAAAAATGGCATAGTTAATAAACAAAAATCATGATCTTGATTACGAGTTTATCACTTCAAGGTTGAAGGCTTGAGAACACCCTTAATTTCTACACAGAAATCTTCCATTATAACTTACAATTGATCACAATTAACATAACAATTGAAAGCATGTATTTTTATGTTTATATAACAAAACCTGAAAAAGGATTCCTTGGGCACCTTTCAAGTTCCTATTAATTTAAAGTCCATTAGATATGTGACACTATGAATATAAACTTTGATTATTAATACAAAATGTCAAGTATCTTGTAAAAAAGAAATGAAAATAAAAATCCAGAAATATACTACTAATTAAATATAAATTACAATTTAATTCTTTTGAATTAAATTGTACGAATATGACTTATTTTATCATATATTAAGAATAATATTAGTGAAAATTACTTTTAGCATCAGAATCCATGGCAATTAAATTTCTTTAATACTGTATTGTACAAAAATTATGGATTTTTTTTAAAAAAAATCAATCTTAAAATAATAATTAATATTTCTTATATTGAATTTGGTGCCAATTTGATTTCGAGTAATTAAAAAAATTAACTTTTTTAAATTAATTTGTTTAGTTCTTCATATTTAATTTTGAGTATTGTTTCGTGCTTATTTAAATGTACTGTAAAACAGTTTAATATGGACAACATGGATATTCAAAATTTTATCAATCAACTACAAACCCAATTAATTAAGATACAAAATTTAGAAACAAATATACAAAATCAAGTTAATGAAGAAATTGTAAATACATGCACTAGTTATAATGTTGATAATAAAGAAGAATATATTATTTGTTCTAATGATTTAAAATATAATGAATTTAAAAACTTATGTAAAGAATATGATATTCTTATTAGCACTTTCAAATCTAAATCAAAGGACAAAGAAACAGACTTTTTGTTTAAAATATTTTATAATGTTTTTGATATATTTCAAGAAAATGGTTATCTAAAATCAAGAAAGTACAGCCATAAATTTAATATTATTAAAAAAGTCATCAAAGTTTCATTTAAACCTGACAACATCAAACCTAAAAAAATTAAAACTGGAAATGATGATGATGTCGACAGTCAAATAAAATCAATATATAGGATTTCAAGAAAAGAGCAACCAACATCTTTTGACATCATTATTAATGCTATAGTATCAACTGAATTTTTTGTAAATAAGGTCTTGGTGAAATCTTGGGCAACATTAGAAAGTTATAATAAATTCAAAGCTGTCAAAGAAATAGGAGAATTTACAGACAGTAGCATTAACAAAATAGTATTATTGCTAACAAAGTCAATTTATGGAAATGTTACCAACAGTTATCTTAAAATACAAAAGCTTTTATTTTTTGCGCAATTACTTTTTGAAAATGGACTAGTTATTTCTACTGAATTAAATGATGAAAATTATATTAAATTTAAAAAGAAAGTTAATAAAGTATTGAGAGAATGAGAATTAAAAATTGTCATGATTAATTTAAAGAAATCTGGTAGTCTTCCAACGACTTTAGATTAAGAAATTTCCAAAAAGGCTGCAATAAACAAAGTAAGAAAACATTTTCATTTAGCAGTTGATTTATGGTTATGGTGTAAAACTTTTGGCTTGATTATTTTAGCTGGAAATCCTAATTTTGATATGGATTTCTGGTAGAAAAATTTGAATATGTCAAGTTATTTTAAGATGTTTGATTTGATTGGTGGTAACAGCAAATTAAAATCAGATTTACAACAACAAAACAATAAACATTTTTTGAGCATTTATCAAGGGTTAAAGGGATATGCAGATAAGTTGAATCTGAATAACAAAAATTTATTTGAAAAGCTTCCAATTACCCCAATTTTATTTGATGTTGATAAATCAAACTCTTAAATTAAAAGTGAATTTGAGTATTATCTTCCTTTGAGAAATAAATCTCCTTTTGGATATAGAATTAATTATGAAGTTAATCAGAATAATAAAAGATCAAGTTTCTCAACTAATTCACTCAATTCGAAAAGTTCAAATAGTATAGAATTAGATGAAGAAGATAAAAAATTTTATTGGATCCAGATTTTCAAGAAGAAATGCAAAAAATTCAGGATGAAACAGAATGATATCATATTAAAGCTAAATTAAAGGAAAAAAAATTTACCCCTTATACAACAAATAAGGAAATCAGTAATATTATAAAAGAAGTCTATGTATCTGACAATATGAAAGCTTTTATCAATGTAAAAACCAAGATTTACAAAGATCATGACAATAAGTTTTTATATGCTCACTTTAGAGATGATTTATCAGAAGTATATCAGAAATGTAAAAAGGCGATAAGTAATTTAGAAGAAGATATTTTTAAAAAAGAAGTTGATAATAATCAGTTTTCAGTTAGAATTGAAGACATTCAGACCTTTGTCAAAGAGTTTAATATAATGTTTTATGAAAATTGGATAACTGAACTAAAGAAATTGCATCTATATAATGATATAATTGATGATATAGTTGAAACATTTGAAAATCTAAAAAGTAATTTGATGGATCTAGACAATGCAGATAAAAAATTGATTGGATATATTAAAAGTATAATTGAAAATAATTATTTAAAAATTGTTGAAAACCTTAATAATATACAGGATAATATGAAGGATTGGGAACAAAAAGCAGAATTTCAAAAGTTAAGAGATTTGTTAATAGAATATAATAAAATACCAAATTCTATCACAAGATCTATGGAGTATCCTAAGATGTTAACAAACTTGAATCTTGTATCAAAGGAATTAGTTAATCTATTTATACGAGATTGGACTGAAACTAAGAAAAAAATTGGTACTGAATATGATGATGATGTCAAAAAAATTGACAATTATATGTCAGAATTAATGCCTGATGATGGATTCATTGCACTTTGTAGTCTTTCAATTATTTGGCAAAGGTTTTGTCAAAATATAACAAGAATTAAAAACAATATTTATCAAAATTTTCAAAATTTCAAAATTCTTGGAAAACTAAAATCAAAAAGTATAGACTAAACTTTCCAAGTCAAATAGAGAAAGCTAATTAATTAATAAGCACAGTTGAAATGAATTTTAATATTAACTTTTTCGAAGGAGCAGAGAATTTACAATTACTTGAAAATAATTTAAACCAAATTTTAAATGAGATTGAAGAACCGGATATATATTATATAAATATCAAGCAAGAACTACCACAATAACTATTTTTTTATAAAGGCTTAACTTTAATTATTAGTCTTAAAGATAAATTTACATGGGTTAGTTTACTTTGAAACCACAAAGTTTTTTCTTTTTTGTATAATAGTACTTGAGCGTTCAATTTAATATTGACTTAATAAATGGTCATGCAAATATTTTACAAATTTAAAGATTTTTGGTTTATATATATAATTCAAAATTGGTAAAATACTAAGCATCAATAAATTTATTTGTAAAAACACTTATCAACAGTAATTATTTTATAAAATATAAATCTAATATGAACTTGATAATTTCCTTCCTTAAATTGCTCATCTTTTTGAAGGAATTTACACAGAATGTCTAATGAGAAATATCTTTTGCTTCTGTTATGAATCCTAAAATCTCTTCAAAAGTTGGGATATACTCTAAAAATTGAGCATATTGTAATAAACAGTTTTGTCAAATGGCCCAAAAATTAATAAAGATGTTGTCACAGGGTAAAAGTGACATTTTCGAAATCGGTATGTAGATCGTCAAACCAGAACAATGATCATGATTATCGAGAATAGGAAATATGCATATGATTTAAAAGGCTTAGATATTACCACTAGAAGGTTCTAGTAGTAATGGTGTAAAACGTGAGATAGAGAAGGTTCAGGAAGGAATAAGGAAACCTGAATGTATAAGGAAGGAAATGTAAGGATTAGCTTGATCAACAA